CTTTATACTGGTCCAACTACTGGCATCTTTTTCAACCAGTCTCAATGTGACAGCTTGACACCTCCCTATTTCATTGTTTTGATTCAGTGACAAGGATTGTGGTAGCCATACATTTCAACGTTTGTTGTTATTAGGTGCCATCAAGTTGGTACTGACCCATAGCGACCTTATGTACAGCAGAATGAAACACTGTCCGATCCTTGGGCAACCTCCCTATTGTTGCCCACTGATGCTGCCACTTTGCCAATGCATCTCACTGGGGTTTTCCTCTTTTTCTCTGACCCTCCACCTTACCAAACATGATATCCTTCTCCAGTCACAGGTCCCTCCTGACAATGTGTCAGAAGTATGAGAGACGAAGTTTGGCCATCTTGGCCTCTAAGGAGCACTCTGGCTGTACTTCTTCCAAAACAGATCTGTTGGTTCTTTTGGTAGTCCAGGGCACTTTCAGTATTCTCCTCCAACACCATAACTCAAATGCATCAATTCTTCTACGATCTTCCTTATTCACTGTACAGCTTTCACATCCATATGAGGTTATTGAAAATACCATGGCTTGGGCCAGGCGCACCTTAGTGCTCAAGCTGACATCTTTGCTCTTCAACACTTTTCAACTTAGATGCTTAAAAACTTTTATACAGAACATTACACTGTGCTCTGAAAACAGATCTTTGCATGTGCCTAAAATTTACTAATTTCTATTTTTTTCCATCAAAAGCTTTTAGAATAAAACTTAGGCCAGAAACTTTCTAAAATATTGTAACATGAATATTTTTCTTTTCAATAACTAAAATTAGCTAGGAAGTCAGTTTGACACTCCCTCAGTTCTGACCACACCCTTTCGACTCCTACAAGGGGTGAAATTAAATTGGTAAATCTGACTACTCCATCCTGGTAATAACTACACTAGGACTCTTACTGTGGTACTATACGATAAGCACTGGACCACAAGGTTGGTTTGAACTGTAAGGCTGATGGTTCAAAACCAACAGCTGCTCCTTGGAAATCCTATACAGGGTAGCTATGAGTTGGAATCAACTCGACAACACTTAACAACAGCAATCACTAAACTAAGGAACCCTGGTGATGTGTAGGTTAAGTGTTGGGCTGGTAACCACAATGTCAGCAGTTCAAACCCACCAGCCTCTCTATTGGATGAGGCTGTCTGCTCCCATAAATACTGACAGTCTTAGAAGCCCTAAGTAGCAGTTCTACTTGGTTTTGAGGGGTTTGCAATGTGTCTGAATCAATAGCAGTAGGTAATCACTAAACTCTTTTCACATCCTGAAAATCCTGAGTGCTTTGGACCTTCATCCTACCTTCATCCCTCAATTCCTTCTCTTCTCTACCTCCACACACCGTTGTTTTTTTCTTTCAAGAACAGGGTCGTTACCCTTAAGAATTTTAAAAGGAAATTTAGAAAGCTTATTTAAAATGATCAAAGTCTAGGAACCTTAGTAAAAATATCTAAATTAGACTAAATGAAGATGTGGAGTTCTTCATAAGAAAAACACAGGAAAATCTACTAGGAAAGAGTCAACAAAGAAGATCTTTTATCAATCATACCTTCAATTTTGTTTCTTGAAGGCAGAATCTCTTCCATCTGGGAGCTCTGGTAGCATAGTAGTTACAAATCATGCTGCTAATCTCAAGGTCAGCAGTTCGAAATTACCAGCTGTTCCATGGGAAAGGGCTGAGGATTTCTATTCTCATATAGATTTACAGCCTTGGAAACTCTATGCAGGGTCACTATGAGTCAGAGCCAACTCCTTGTCACACCAACCCCACCAATCTGCTTTACTTCCAAGAGAGACAGTATCTTCATTTTCAGACACTAACCCAGGACCTAACATTATGAAAGCACCCTGGTGATGTGGTGTTTAAAGTGCTTGGCCGCCAACTGAAAGGTCAGTGCTTTGAACCCACTAGCTGCTCCACTGGAGAAAAATGTGACAGTCTGCTTCCACAAAAATAGACAGCCTTGGAAACCCTATGGCTGTGAGTTGAACGCAACTCAATGGAAGTGGATGGAACATTATGAAAAATCAGCAATCAGAACGTACAGCTCCATTTGTCTCTTTTATGGCTTTAGTATGAGTCCCTGGGTGGCACAATTGCAGGACTACTAAGAGAGTTTAAGAATTCAAACTCACAGAGACAGCTGGAAGACAGGGCTGGTAATATGCTTCCCAAAGGTCACAGCCTTGAAAGCCCTAGGAGCAGTTCTACTCTGCACACAAGGGGTCATTTTAAGTCAGAACTGACTCAACAGTAACCTGCTTATGACATTAGCTACATGTTCTCAAGCAAATAAAAAGAAAAGTGAACCTTTGGCCTGGCCATTTCAGACAACTTCTGAAGTGACGCTCCTTCCTAGGGCTAAGATAGGCAACAAATTCTAAGAAGCACCCTTTCAGGTCAAAGATTTTCAGATACACACAAAACCTTTGGTGTTGACTGCGGCCCACCTGCAATTAGTCCCTGGAACAGGAGAAAGCAACTGCCTCATCCAACTCCTGATGTCCCACTCAAAATGTGTTTCCTACTACCCAGGGATGAGGTGGAACCAGAGTTCTTTGGCAAGCACATGGGCTGAACAAAAGGGAAGCACTTGGTTACCTAGCTCTGCTCTAAAGCAGTATAGGAATAACCTGAAAAGTTACTGTGCACATTCTTCAGCTATCTTCACCAGGGTCTGCAGTGCTACTGCTGCTGTAACAAAACATAGGTGGGTGGCGGCTTTAAGGAAATAAAATTTATTTTTTATTAGAGTGTGGACTACTAGTGCCAATTAAGGACAATGATTCTAGGGGAAGGTTCTCTCTGTCAACTCTGGGGAAAGACCCTCGTCTCCTTCAGCTTCTCTTCCTTGGTTCTTTGGTGATCTGCTGGCACTACTCTCTCTCTCCATCTGTGTTTCTGGGCCTAATATGCTTTTGATACCTCAAAAGTGATTGGCTTCTGAGGACTCTAGATTCATGGGAAGAGAGGGACTAAGAGCCAGTGGCCAGGAGGCGGACTTGCAGACTGTGCCCTTTGGTGGTGTAAACTATTATACATGCCTGAGTGTTTTTAAAAAAAAAGAGCTAAAGTGACTAGAGAAAAATACTGATGGTACATGGAGGGGATTATAATCATGGTAATGAAATAAGGTGTATGATTTGTTGAATGTAAAACTGATGATCTGCCCTGTAAACTTTCACTCAATCCACACACACACACACAAAAAGTGATGGGCTTAAAATGCAGCATAGCATGATAGCTTGTTAACATGCCAACTAAAACTCTATCTCCAAATGGAATTACATCCAAAAGCATATAAAAAACAATAGCCAACTCTGTTGCCATCCAGTAGATTTTAATGACTTTATAGGACAAAGTAGAACTGTCCTACACAGTTTCCAAGGCTGCGATCTCTATGGAAACTGACTGCAACATCTTTCTCCAAAGGACCAGCTGGAGGTTTGAACCACTGACTTTTCAGTTAGCAATTAAGCAATTTAACCACTGTGCCACCAGGGCTCCTTTCCACAGTATTGTTGTTGTAAAGTGCCATCGAATCGGTTCCGACTCACAGCAACCCTGTATAGTGTTTCCAAGGTGCATGTTGTTAAGTGCCGTCATGTTGGTTCCAGCCCATAACAACTCTGTATAGAATTTCCATGGAGCAACCAGTAAGTTTGAACTTTCGACTTCGCATTTCAAACTGACTTTGCAGTCCAGCGCATTAACCAACAGCACCACACAAGGTCTCACAGCGAATCGTTTCAGACTCATAGCGACCCTGTGTAGGGTTTCTGAGGCACACAGGGGCTAGGATTTATAACATATATTTTGGGGGGCACTGTGAGTTAGGCATTGGGCTGCTAACCGCAAAGTTGGCAGCTCAAACCCACCAGTCATACGGGAGAAAGATGAGTCTGCCTGCTCCCATAAACTAGTCTAAGACACTCCATATAAGATCACTGAGTCAGAATTAACTCGATGGCAGTGAGTTTTGGATTGTTTTTGGTGGGGGGACACAATTCAATCCCTAACACTCTTTGTACGTTAGCAGACTGCCAGTCTGAAGCACACCTGACCCCAAACTGGTAACAAAGCCACAATCTCAGGACCCTCCTATGTTGCCATACCACACTACTTCTCCATCTGTTGGCTCTCTGAGTTTTAAGGCACACAGACAGGGTACTAGAATAGTTTAACAGGACTTTTCTCCCTTTCCAGATGCTTGTAAATGAAAGGCTAAGTGAGGATTTCTGTCCAGCTTTCCTACCAAAGGCAAGTCTACTCAGGGACTGCTTGGAAGAAAATCCCCGGAGAGCTACTTCCACAAACTCAGCCAATGATAACCCTATGAAAACTCTTTAACCCTGACACACATGTGGTCACCATGACTCACAATCGACTCAACGGTAACAGCGTGTTTTTACTGGTTTGGGTGGTGCAAATGGTTAATGGGCTCAACTGCTAACCAAAAGATTGGAAGTTTAAGTCTACCAAGAGCTGCCTCAGAAGAAAAACCCAGATACAATGTTGTTACCGGGAGCCATCAAGTCAGTTCCTGCTCATTTACACCCTATATACACCAGAATGAAACACTACCTGCATCCTCACAGTCACTGCTATGTTTGAACCCATTATTCTTGCAGTTAAGGCATCGATCCACTTCAATGAGAGCCGTCCTCTTTTTCACTGACCGTGTACCAAGCATGATATTCTTCTCCAAGGACTGGCCCTTCCTGATGACATGCTCAAAATATGTGAGACGAAATATCGCCAGCCTTGCTTCTAAGGAGAATTCTGGCTGCATGTCTTTAAACGCAGATGTTTCTTCTTGTTCCTAGAGATCTATTTGTGAAAAATCCAGCTGATGAAAACCTTATGGAGTACAATTTACTCTGACACAGATGAGGTTCCCAAGAGTGGGCAACTCATTTGGGTTTCTTATTTAAGCATGCACTCAGACTACGCCACTTAACAGAACAGAAAATATGCCCTACCATAAGGATACTTGGTTTCCAGTTTGTTCGCTGCTGTCCTCCTCCAAGGCAACAGGTCATCACTGCATCCGTTTGGCATTCCATTGTACCCAATGCCAACAATCTTGTTTTCTGTATTCACGATGCAGGCCCCGACCTAAAGAAAACATGCCCAAAGGGTTGGTGTCTGAGCAGCTCATCTGCTACTGGTAAGGCAGTGAATGAAAGGTGGGCGGCAGACTTCCAAAACAGGCACTCATCTTCTGGAGGTGTGATCGGCGCACTGTCTCTGCCAATTTTTTGTGGCATCCTGCCCTGAAAGGGGCAGGAGATGCATTCAACAATGGCATGTGACAATTTACTCCCTCACATGAGAATGAAGGCATGTAGGAATACAGCATGAAAGACAGATTTACTTGACATTTTTAAATTGACAGATGTCGACTGAGTCTACCCTTCTTGTAAGTTGTTCATTTCTGTGTCTACGTGTGTCCAGATATTCTCCTATAAAACTTACTTACTTGAGAATTTGGATCTTTGCTTCTCTGTGCTGATAAGAAGGCCACAGCCATGAAATACTCAGGCCATTCCAAATAGTCATCCCGCTTTTTGCAGGAAACTTCACTCGTGCTGGGTCTAGAAGAAAAACACAACAAAAGTACAGTTAAGAGACACATTTTGGTAACTCCACTTTCCAGTTTAACTCAACCACATTTAAATTTTGGATCTCTAATCTCAGAAACTTGAGTTGTTACTTATCAATCATTAATCACAGGACAAAGACCTCAGAGTTACTTAGTAGTTTCTGGTCTTAAAAAAAAAAAAGAAACAAAGACCCTAAGAAATTACGGTGCTGCTTCAGATTGGTGTTAGGCAGCATTGCTTCACATGTCCATAGTGATTCACTGCTTTCATAGGTTGCTTTGTATATTAGTGCAAATGCCTGACCCTCACCTTGCCCCCTTATATAGTGGAGCAAGTACAGTAGGGAGGGGGAAAGAGGAAAAACAATTATTGATTACCTAACATATGCCAGACACTGTTAAAAGTCTTAAGTATCATTTCACTCAAGACTTACTGCTTGTTAAGGTAGAAAACAGACTCAGAGAATACAGGTAATTTGATCTAAGCCACACAGGATTATTATGCATGTCAGTTGGATTCCAAAGAAAACATGTCCAGCTGTTCCAATTCTGATCTTAACCAGATAATTCGTCCTTCTGTTTACCCTTAGCTTTCTCAGTGGGGACAGCAGTAATCAACTCTAAATCCAGAATCAAATGCAAAAGACACTCTGATGTGTCAATTGTTGTTACTAAGGCAAAGTTTTAGTAATAATGGCTTTTCTCACTGCAGGTACATGCCATCTCTACAACAACAAGAGCCTATGAAGGGGGCTTAGAATTTGGGGTAAAGAGAGCCTTTCAAAAGAGATGGGGTGGGGAAGAGTCACAAAGGAACCAAGTAGATATCATTTAAGAAGAAATCTCAAGGTTAGATTTTCCCAAAACATCTGCTTCAAGCTCTAGACTTTAAGCTTATATACTGACATGCAGCCCTGCCTAAGAAAAGGATACAGGCAGGGCTACACGTCATACTATAAGCTTAAAGTCTAGAGCTGGTACCTACGGGAACCAGTTCCACAGGATGCAACCTCCTCCCAAAATTAGCTATAAGGCAAAACAGAACTGACCCATGGGGTTTCCAAGGCTGTATATAATCTTTAAAGTCCTGATGTGGTGCTGTGGGTTAATGCGCTGGACTGCAAAGTCAGTTTGAACGGCAAGGTTGGCAGTTCAAGGTCACCAGTCATTCCTTGGAAACCTTATACAGGGTCACTAAATCCTGGTGTGACGCTGTGGGCTAATATATCAGACTGCAAAGTAGTATGAAATGCAAGGTAGGTGGTTCAAGCTCACCAGTCGCTCCTTGGAAACCCTATACAGGGTCACTATGGGTCAGAATCGACTTGATAGCACTTAACAAAAACAACAATGTAACTTTAGGGAAGCAGATTTTTCTCCTGCTGATTGCCTGGTAAAGTTGAACTGTGGACCTTTCATTCAATTTGCATAACCACTGCCTCACCAGGTTCTGTCTTGTGCCAGTTGGACCCTGTATAGGGTTTCTTAGGAGTTACCGGTGGGTTTGAACTGTCGACCTAGTAGTTAACAGTCCAGTGCTTATCCTACACAGTGCCACACCAGAACTCCAGAGGGCTCCTGTACCCCATTATGTTGCCCAAATTCTAACAACACCTGGCCTTGCTTCTGTAAAGCATGCAGAATAGGCCTGGTTTTCCCCAGTTGGTTTAAGGGTTTTTGTTATTAAGTGTGGTGGAGTTGCCTTGGTCTCATAGGGACCCTGTACAGGGTTTCTGAGGCTTTAAATCTGCCGGAAAAGCGAGCCTCATCTTTCTCCCAAACAGCAACTGTCGTACTTGAATCAACTTTGTAGTTCATACAGTCCGGTGTTTGCTCCCTGCTTTAAGGGTTGTAGTTGTTAAGTGCCTATGGAGTTGATTCCAATTCACAGAGGCTCTGTATAGCTTTGAAGGTGAGGCAGGTGGGTTTGAACTGCCGATGTTGTGGTGGCAGGCTAGTGCTTATCCTACAGCACCAAATCAGGGCTTTGCCTTAAAGGTTGTTACTGTTGTTCAGTGCACTAATCTTTGCAGCAAGTCCTGGTGTGGTGCTAGGAGGTCAGCTGTTCAAACCCACCAGTTACTTTTGGATCACTATAATTTGGAACTGATTCGATGGTACTTAACAACAACAATCTTTGCAGGATAACAAATAAGTCTCTATTAAGTACAATTACTAGGGGAAACACTGGGTGCTTTGCCTATCTTTAATGCTCATTGAAAGCCTGTAATCAGCTACAAAAACCGAAGTGGGAAACTGAGTCTAAGAGAGCTCGATCTAATCTCAAATCTGAACAGAATGCATGCTCCTCCCAATGCCTTGAATTCTGACTGCGGGCGTAACCACGCATTCTCACCCCAAGTAGAAGTGCAAGGAATGGCTATTATTTTCAGCTTTCCCCAGAATCACCCCACTTCTCCCAGGGCGGTGAAAAGCTCCTACAATTTAACCACAGCACCACCACGACAAACCGACCACCTCTCCTACGCCCCTCGTCTACTTGTTTGACTATTTAACAGAGGAGTGCAAAGTAAGGGTTCACCAGCCCTGAGACCAGGCCCCCGCGCCCAGCGCTCCAGGCGGCGCCACGTGGCGGTACAGGCTGCGTACCCACAAGGCTGGCCGCCGCCCATGCTGCAGCTCCGGTTCCGTCCAAGCGCTCGTCCCCGCCGCCGTTCCCACAGTTCCCGCCGCTCAGCCGCCGCAGCCCGCGCGCCCAGGGGAAGGAAGTCGGGAGAAGAGGCGGGGCTGTCCAAGGCCGGAAGGTGGGAGCGGCCGGCGGCCGGCCCACGAAAGAGGTGGCGCAGACTCCTACGGGGCGGGGAGACGGGATGGCCCGCGGCTCCCCGAGGGCCCCGTGGAGGCCTGGTTTCTGTCGCCTCCGGGTGACGCTTAGCATACAGAGCTAGTTCGAGGGCCTGGGCCCTGGCTCTCTTGGGCACAAAGTACTCCTCCCGGGCCGCGTGTTACCTGTTTGTGACTGGTTTGGGGTTTTGCCCCTCACCGCTTTCCGCTCTAATACGTGCAGTTCCGAACCTGTTCTGGGACTCTCGGCGTCCAGGGCCCGCTGCCCGTATTGGGTGGCGTGGGAAGGACTGGCCCGCTCTCAGGAGCCTGACTTCATTTCAAATAAACAAAAACAAAACTGCTTTTAAAGATACGAGCATAAGGCATGGATCGTTTTTGTAGTTAACCGAGATTTTTTTTTTTTCCTCCACCTGGATCTACCATCAACTACATACTTGAAGCTGTTGCTATAAAATATATTCACGTATACATTATATGTGAATCAAAGATGAGCCGAAAGAGTCTAGTTACGTGGAACCTGAAGGTGCTGGACGTGAGGAGACCTGGTGTTGGTTTCGTGAATTATCCTACTGTGTTGTGAGGCATAGTGATGATGGTGGCTTCATACTGGAGGGGTTTAATGGGGAGCAGACTGGGTCGGGTAAGGAAGCCTCACTTTCTGTTCAGAATGAGTGGAAGGTATGCCCAAAACCATGCCACCTCTCCCCAAGTCCTCCAACGCTGCACTGCACACACAGCTCCCACCTATAAAATTATTCACATTATGGTACCATTATTTAAAAGATCAGGAAAAAGAAAATCCAGGGCAATAGAAAGTACCGTCAGTGACATTTCTGAGGGCACGTGTTCCACAAAACTAAATCTGATTTTCTTGAACTTCGGTACTGTATTCAGACGTCTGGTCCCTAAATCTGGTGGAACACTGTTTGAGGCACAGAGAATGACAAAAGAATCCCTTACACATGGGGCTTGAGAATACTGCCACCGGGTCATAAATAATAGTTACTGGAATAATCATGAGTTCGGATCTGCACATTCCGGATCTGAGCTGCTAATCCAAACAAAAGCTTGTTAACTATATTAATTTAGCCTAACCAAGGAAGAATGATGAGAATAAACAGCTGGTTCTATCTAATTTCTCACTACAGCAGACACATCATTCTTCATCTCCATGGTCCAGCCTGCAGATTCAATAATTAAATTATGTACTGTTCTTAGCGGATGTCGGGAAAGCAAAGGAGAAAAATACTTCATCATTAGCTAGAGTTTTGTTTTGTTTTGCTTTTTGTTTGTTTGTTTTTGCCTTGATAAGACTCAGATTTGAAAGAGCTACATAGATTAAAATGACTTTTAATGTCAAGTTAACTTCATTTGGCTGTCTTGTTGCCACTAAAATTTATGATCTCCTGAGGCCCAGGCTCCCCTCCCCCTCCCCAATCCACTGCTCGTTCTTTGTCACACTCATCTATAGTCTTTGGTTCTTCATAGATTCATTTTTCTTCTTATCAACCTACAGTCAATGCATCACCAATTCCTGCTGGTCCTGCAACCACAGTATCATTAAGCTTTCTTCCTTCCTTTGTTCCGTAAAGACTGTCATACATAATTTAGTTACTTCTCATCATTCTCCATTTTGGTCAACACACATTCTTCCCTCCGCAATAAATTCAAGATCCTGCTTGCTGCAAACACATTATCCTGAATGTTCCTACATTTCACTAAAAGTCCCTCATCTTAAAGATGACATCATTCATAATACAGGAAACCCTCCTGATTCATAGTTTCAGAACTTGAGGTTTCAAATAGTTTGTACCAACAGCCAACCCAGACAGCCAAGGGAGAAAAATGCATTCCTTGGTATATCTTTGCTCATTAACACCTTGTAACTCCAAGTGTGACTGTAGGTGTTAAATCTCACTTATAACCTTGTATTTTGATTTATAATTGAGGATCTTTCTCCACCTACCACAGATACAGAGGTTTCATATGCATTCAGCCATATTTAGATTGCATTTCCTGGAACCAGGAAGGTAGGCTGCACTGGGTGTGAATACACTCAGCACTATAAGGATTCTTGACACACAAACTTTGCCTTGGCACCTCCATTTACAGGCTTGGAGGTTCTCTATTTGTGATCTTTAGCCTGGCCTGGAATAATTGAGGATTTTAGAGGTATTAATTTTAGATGTATTAATCAGGGGTCCAGATTAAAAATACAGACGTCAAGGTAAAATACTTCTGGGGGCTGCCTCAGACAGGACTTTGATGCCAATCATGCTTTGATAACAAGATACTGGTAACCACTTCTACCTCCTCTCCTTACCAAGTAGCCAGTCTGTATCAAATTTGTCATGGGAGAAAGGACACAATCATTGGAGCAAGACTAGATTTTCAATCCTAATTCTACTTCTTATCTCCAAGTGACTTTCAAAAGGTGCTTATATTCTTGGATTCTTCTTAATTCATGTGTAAAATAAACAACGAATTTGTTGCTGTTAAGTGCCGGTTGAATCTGTTCAGACTCATAGTGACTCTATATAGGGTTTCCGAGGGGTGGCTGGTGAGTTTGAACCACCGACTTTGAGTTTCAAACCCATCTTGCAGTCCAGTGCATTAACATACAGCGCAGCTTCATTTAATCCGTTTTTATTCATTCTGTACTATGTTTTAGGTGCTGACGATACTATAATAAAAAAGAATGGATGAAACTGATTCTTGCCCTCAAAAGGCTTACCTAAGGCCCTTCCCACCCTCCTGCCACAAATTGTTCTTCTTGTTGTTGTTAAGTGCCATCGAGTTGGTTCTGACTCATAGCCACCACAGGGTGGTGGTGATTTCCAAGGAGTGGCTGGTGAGCTTGAATCCCTGACCTTGCGTTCAAACCAACCTTGTAGTCCAGCGCTTTGATCCATGGCACTGCAATGAAGGCTCAATAAATGAACCTCATTGCTGGTTCAGTCAACATCATAAATGTGTAAGATAAATTTCCTGTCAGAACCTCTTTGTTCTTAATTCATTAGTCATCAGGACCCAAAAATTCTCTTAATAGCTCAGCAACTGCACTTAAAGGCCAAATGCCACTTCTACTGTTTTTCAAAAGAAAAATTGTTTTTCTTTCCAATCAGCAATCCTAGTTACAGCTGTTTAAACCTTGTGTAAAAGGTTATCCTGACTGTGTCCTTGCTGTTGGTAAGTGCTGTCAAGTCGGTTCTGACTTATTGCAACCCTGTATAGTAGGGGTGAGGAACATCCGGCCCGCGGGCCATATGTTGTTGTTGTTGTTAGGTGCCATCGAGTCAGTACGAACTCATAGTGACCCTATGCACAACAGAATGAAACACTCTGCCTGATCCTGGGCCAACCTCACAATTTTTCCACACTTGAGCCCATTGACACTGCCACTTGGCCAATCCATCTTGCTGGGGGTCTCCTCTTTTTTCTGACCCTCCACCTTATCAAACATGATATCCTTCGCCAGCGACTGGTCCCTCCTGACAATATGTCCTAAGTATGTGAAACAAAGTTTGGCCATCCTGGCCTCCAAGGAGCACTCTGGGCCATATTATTGTTGTTGTTAAGTGCTGTTGAGTCAGTTCCAACCCATAGCGACCCTATATAGGGTTTCCAAGGAGCAGCTGGTAAGCTTGAACTACCAACCTTGCAGTTGAAGCAGCTTTTCAGTCTGACGCATTAACCCACAGGGCCATACCAGGACTCTCTGGGCCATATAAGGCCTGCAAAATCATTTGCTCTGGTTCTGCCAAGGCAAAACACAATTCCAGGTATCACATTTGTTGTTGTTGTTACGTGTCGTGGAGTTGGTTCCGACTCATAGCAACCCTGTACAAGGTTTCTGAGGCTGTAAATCTTTACGGGAACAGAAAGCCTCATATTTCTTCTGTAGAACAGCTGGTAGTTTCAAACTGCTGACCCTGAGATTAGCAGCCTGATTCATAACCACTACGCTACCAGAGCTCCTTGTGCATCACATTGTTGTTATTGTTATGTGCCGTGGAGTCATTTCGGACTCATAGCGACCCTGCACAGGGTTTCTGAGGCTTTAAATCTTTACAGGAGCAGAAAGCCTCATCTTTCTCCCAAAGAACAGCTGATAGTTTCAAACTGCTGACTTTGAGGTTTGCAGCCCGATTCATAACCACTATGCTACCAGAGCTCCTTATGCATCACATTAGAGGTGAGTTAATTCAATGTTTGACCAAATATAGCAAGCTTTTTTTAAAAAACATTTTATTGTGAATTGAGTGAAGATTGACAAGATCATCAGCTTTACTTTCAAGCAATCATACGTTTGGTTTCATCTAGATGATTAAAACCCCTCCCTTCCATAACAGTTGTCCTGCTTCCTCTCTGTGGTTTCCTTTTACATCTTATTTTTCACAAATCAACAAAGCAAAAATATTTGATGTACACATATAAAACAAAAAATAGATATTCATTTAAATGTCCAAAGGGCACATTTTGCCCATAGGCACACAGCCTTTCTCAATCCATGGGCCTAGAGTCTGCAGCTGTTCTGTCTTTCCAGGTAGTAGGTTAATTTTCAAGTTGATAATTTTGTATGGCCTGCGAATGATGTTATAAATTTTTGTACAAAAAATATTCCCCAACCGTGCTGTATAGGATTTCTGAGGAACGCACACACACACATATAAATGAAAGTGATACAAAAGGGAAATGAGATATATGGTCTTATAAATGTATACATTTTTATGAATGCTAGAACTTGAGGTCGGTTCACATCCAGTGAATGGGACATTGTACAAAGAAAATGAGGAAGGAAGTTGACCCAATTTGAGTAGCTATC